GGTTCTGAGCCCACATATATAGGAAGAGTAATAACTCCCTCAACCGGGACGGGCTGGTTATCGAACCCGTATATTGGGACTTCGTGCTTCTGCAGCGAGCTCGGATTTAGCTGCATCTTCTGGAAGCAACTCTAGTACAGGATGTCTGGTGAACTGCCAGTGTCAATGAACACTTTATTGACATTATGATTGCCTATATGAACCGTTGCCACAAAGGGATTTGCATGGGGCATCATAATGTCAGGCTCTCCTTCTGCTCGCTTGTAATCTGCCGGGCTGAATGTGATAGGCATATTCTCCCATTCTGCTTCCTCAAACGGCCGCTTCAAGGGTCTATTTTTGTTGACAGTCATCACTTGTCGGGCATATGCCTTGCGAGCTCGGGCACTTTGGCCCCCCGAATGAACACCACCTGATATCATGTTTATTGTACCCGAGGGCGGGGGTATCCCAGCATAGCCTACCCCTTTCTTATCCTTTTGGTTCTGGGCAGCAACCCTCTGCCCCTGTCCTGTCCTGTTGAACGGACGCCCTCTGTACACCCTGCCCTGCTCTGAAGGATATGTATTGTCCTGATATACATCCTGCGCCACGCCGAGCTGGTACCTCTGCCCCTGAGGTCGGCCATACCCCTGTACAAAATGAGTTTGAGTGGGTTGCTGGGTGTGGGGCTTCTGAACATATCCTTCTAATTTCCCATTGCGAGCTAGGAACTCTAGCTCGTCCTTCAGATGTTGGCAGTCTTCTGTGTTGTGATCGTAAGTACGATGATAGTCACAATGCTTGCTCTTGTCCGCCCTTGGGGACTCATACAGTGGGGGTGGGGGTCTTCTAACCCAATGTTGTATTTGCGCCAGGATTTGGGACCTGGGCAAGGTTAAAGGAATATAGTTGGCATACTTGGGGAAGTTAGCGGGCTTCCCCCACTGCTCGCTGACTTTCTGTTTCTTCTTCTCTTCCCTTCTCGATGGCTGTTCCTGGCTTTTGCTCTGCTTATCGTCAGCTCATCGCTTGGATGACTGGAAGTCTTCTGATAATATGAAGCTAGCCGACCTGTCACTTCGTTCCAAGTCCTCGGTGGGTTTTCTAGGAGGTCGTCCAGGAACCTGCCACGTTTCAAACCATGTAGCAAGGCGGACAGGCAGATGGTATCTGGGACGTTATCAATGTCCAACGTGGCTTTGTTGAATCACTGCATGTAGTCCCTTAGAGATTCCCCTTCTTTTTGATTAACTTGCATCAGCTCGGTTGCTGTGCGTTTGATCTCCCTCTGGCTCGCGAATTTGTTAGAAAATAGCTTGGCAAGCTGGGAGTATGAGTCTATAGAATGTCTGGGGAGCTTGTGATACCATCTCCTGGCTGTTGATTTCAGTGTCGCTGGGAACACTTTGCACATCATGGCATCATTGGCATTTTGGATTCTCATGATGGCTTGATAGGTGTGCAGGTGTTCATCTGGGTCACCCGAGCCATCATATGTCTCCAGGTGGGGAATCTTGAATCCCTCTTGATATGGTTCTGCTGTGATGGATAAGTTCAATGGAGCACTATCCAAATCAAGGTTTTGTTGGTGCAACCTGGGACTTTTCAGCTCGTCAATGGACTTATGTACGTCCCGCAGCTGCCTTTCAAGGTCTGCGTTTTTTCTCATCAATTCCTCACTATGCTTGGACGAGCTGGGCTCGTTATTCAACTTCCCACTTCCCCTTGGCCTGGTCGGCAGCACTACGTTGCTTAGAGCAGGGGAGTTTCGAGTTGCAACAACCGTAGCTGGTTGTGCATCCCTATTCAACAAAGGAATCAGGGGGTCGTCCGGAATCAGGCGGGCAAGGATTTTACCCATTGCCATTTCCAGAATTCTGGTTCTCTCTTCGAGCTCGGTTGTCCGAGCAGGTTCTGTTGACCTTTCAGGTCGTTCACGCTGTGAATTGTACGGTCTAGAAGGTTTTGATCTTGTTCCTGTTGGAATTTGGAACTGTTCAGGCTGGGTTGCATACCCCGTTGGTGTTCTTTCATCATCATCCGTTTCGCTTAGGTGATCCTGTTCTACTCCCCCGACGAAAAGGTTTCTTGGCATCGGCCTAAAGTCATTCATGCCGGGCTCAGATACTTGGGCGTCCTCCTGTTCGTCCATCTCATTCCTTGGAGGGCGACCTCCTGTAAAAGTACGGACCATTTTGTCTTTTAGCAGGTTAAGTCACACAACTTCTTGTTCGAAGTTCCCACAGACAGCACCAAATGTTTGGGCAGCTTCACAATCCAACACTGTTGAAGTCTTCAGCTGCTTCCACACCTGAAAATCCCGAGGTTGTTTCCTCGGGGAAAACACTCCAACGCTCAAGTCAGCAATACTCGGAGCTCTAGAGAGAGATGCTCTCAAGGAGTAATTGCAGAGAGAGAAGTGTAGAGATTAATTACCTTCATCGGAGGTAGTTGGGGGGTATTTATAGCCCCTTGGTGCTGAGATACATCTGCACGTGTGAGCACCCCCTTGGCCCACGTGGCGCTGGTCACATGGGTATGCTTGTACTGATGCTCCTTCAGCTTGGGCTAATGGGTGGTAACCTAGGCTCGTTATGCACAGCCCTGTTTGAGTGTTGGGCCTGCTGGGCCTATTCCAACAGTTTCTAGATGACATTGTAAATTCTATTCTGGATATCAATCCATCTAACATCCATGTATATAAAGAAAAATTAAAAAAACTGAGGAAAAATGTGAATTTCAGCAAAATATAATCAAATGCGACATAGAAATATACAATTAATGGTGTAACATGATCAGATGATTCAGATCATTGACCATAATGCAAAAACATGAACAGATTCATCAATGCATGACATGCAGAGATTACCTAAAGAGCAAGAAGGAGAAGGGAAGCAGATGTTTATTCTCTTTTCTTTTTATTTCTCCTGATTTAGTGATTTTTTTACAATTTCAAACTTTTCCTTTATTTTATTTTTTTATTTTTAATTACATATCCCTAAAAAAGTGCAATTCTTAAAAAAAAAAAACTATATAATTCAAATTATATCAAACTAATGATTTTAATTATTAAATAAGGTAAATTCATATGTTCCCTTGTTCAATCCATTAATTCTTGTTTTATTCAGATTGGGCTTGCAGATTAACCGTCCTAATCCGTTTTTCCCTCCTTTTTTTTTTTTTTTAATGAAAAGCAATCTGCAAAATTCTGCATTTACATGAAGGTCATCGGTCAATTGATGGCGTCGCTGCCTAGTCTCGCCACCACCGTCAACCAGAAGCCTAGTCGTTGAAGCCAAAGGCAGCAAGATTGCAGTGGTTTGGATCTTTGCCGCCGTAGCCATGGACTTGGGATATTTGAGTAAGTAGATGGAAATTATAGTGTCTCTGCTTCTTGTTATGTTGGTTTATTTTCGTTTTCTATCTGAAATCACGATCCTGTTGAAGTTTATCTTAGATTTGTCATTTATGCGTTTGATTCATTGGATTCCTTTTTATGTTGGGATTAATGATCAGATATTGGCATGGTTTGATTGATATTTGAGACAACATTCTGATACATCGCTACACTAAATTTAGAATTTTCACAATCCAAGCCATATTCGTAGTTTCTGCACCAGATGTAGAACTTGATAAGAAGGGCGGCTCGGATATATTGCTCGGCTATATCAAGTTTTACATATAGTTTGGATATCATGAAGATGAAGCCAACCATCAATGACCAAGATGCAGAGATTGCAGATGATATCCAGCCTTGATTGGTTAGATTCTGCAAAATGAAGTAAGCACAGTTTTTAACTTAATATTAGTTCTAATGATCTTTACACAGCAATCTCTTGTTCAATGGATTAAGTGTAGTTATGTCCCTGTGTTTTTCTTGAATCTTGAAGCATTATTGATTTAAAATGTAGCTATGATTGATAATAAACAGAAGCACATTTAAAGTATAATGGTTGAAATTAGAACTTATTTCTTCCACAATCCCCCCTCCCCCCAAAAGTGAGAGAGAGAGAGAGAGAGAAGGAAAAAGAGATGTTATTGTAGCCAGAGTATCTTTATTTAATTTACATGCCAAAAATGTTAAGCAGCAATACGGTAGAAGCAATTGTAAATGACAAGAATAAGCAAGGAAACAGCAAAGATAGACCAGATAACAAACTTGAAGCCAACAGGGAAGGGAGTTGTGGTGGTGTAGCAGAATGTAGCTGTAGCAATGAGAAATGCAACATTCTCCAACACTCGTGATACCTTGGAAAGCTCCCTGCTGACCATCTTTGCAATCGAGAGAAGGGCAAAGGTAAGCAAGATTGCAAAAGAAACCAAACTGAGGGGAAGGGATAGTTTGGATTAGGTTTTTGCAAACTGGAGAGATATCTCTATTGTAGACGTAAAGCAAAATGCAAGTATGGCATTTTGCCGTTGCAGGTTCTGCTGAGCAACATCTGAAATAACTTGTTGGGATTCCAGGTAATCTAGTGTAGAAGGTGGTGGTTGTGGTGGTGACTGTGGTGATTCTATGTCGGGAACAGTACACAGTGGTGGCTGTAATGATTCTGGGTGAAGAGGAAAAGGGTGGTTCTGGTGGCTGGGACAATTCTAGGTTAGGAATGGAATGCAAAGTTTCTGAGTGAAGATGAGAAGGTGGTTCTGGCCCTTCTGGTGGCTGTGGTGATTCAGAGTTACTAATAGGATGCAGTGGTGGCTGATTCTGAGTGAAGATGAGAAAGTGATTCTGGCAGCTGCAATGACTCGCTAAAATGTGGTGAACAAATTGATGGCTGTGGTATAGGACAGGAATCATTCATCATTGCCATGGCAGTTCTTGTCAGCATCAGAGCTAGCATAACCAGCATGTCAAATAGAAATGGGGGTATTTTTTTGTTTATAAACAGGCATGCTTCTATAGTTATATATTGGGAAGAATTGTCTATGATGGTGGCTCATGACTTTGGAGGGGTCAAAGGAAGGGAAAAAAAGACTCTGGATTTGTTGATTGATCTCAATGTTTCTATTTTTCTTGTGGGGGGAGGGAGGGGGAAAGGTAGCATTGCAATTAGGGTTTTCTCACTTTTCTGTTTTATAATTTATTTTCTAAATTGAATTGCACCAAATGAAATTAATACAAAATAAGGGTTATTAAAGAATAGATAATTTCTAATATTCTATGATCTTATTTTTATCGATTACTTCTATTAAATAATAAGTGTTAAAAAGTTTATGCCTACTATACTTGAAGCATATATATATATTTTTTGATATATTTAGTGGTTAACATTTTCTAGGTAGAGGCTGGGTATAAATTATATTAAGTATTTTACTTAAAAAATTTTAAGTATAACTTTTAAATTTAGTATTTATTTAAATATTTTAAAATTTATATTTAATTTTTAACTTAATAG